TTTTTAAGCAAAATGTCAGCTGCTGTGGTCCCATGTGGTCATGCACTGCCCTTGCTTAGCAGCATGGTCAACAGTATCTTGTTAATAGCACTCCCTCAACTGGGAAGTATCTACTTATTTTTCAAAGTCATTAGAGCTTAGACTTCTTCCATCATTGTTACCTTTTTAAAAAGTCAAATATTGCTGGGCGATGGTGGCGCATGCCTTTAATCCCAGCACTCGGGAGGCAGAGGCAGGCGGATCTCTATGATTTTGAGGCCAGCCTGGGCTACCAAGTGAGGCCCAGGAAAGGCGCAAAGCTACACAGAGAAACACTGTCTCGAAAAAACAAAACAAAACAAAAAAACAAACAACAACAACAAAAAGTCAAATATTGATATCACTTTTAAATTTCATTTTCTGTGCAAGGTGCTCCAATCGCTATTTGTTTCTGTTCTCCAATGTTTCCCAGTCATTAAGAACTTCATTCTATTTTCTCTCATGGTTATTATCCATTTATCTCTGTTTGGGGCAATGTCTCCTGTAACCCATGCTATGAATCTCATGCTATGAAATTGAGAATGGCTTTGAACACTAATCTGTCTCTGCCATCCAGTGCTGTGAAGACACGTGTGTCAGTCATTCCAGGCTGGGCCCTGACTGGTCAGTGAGGAGGAAAAGGAGACAGAGGAAGGAGTGTCCTAATGCGGCCCAGGCTTTTATAGGGGTGGTGATGCAGAGGTGCTTGTGTAAGAATGGGAATTCGTTGTCCATACAATTACAAGCTGTTATAGTCACAGTACAGGAAGGGAGTAGGGCATGAAGGAGCTTGAAAGATTTCTGGTTTTGACCTCAGTTGGGATTACCAATGTGCATTCAGTTAATCAATTATTGGTAACCCATTAATATCCTGAGTGGCCATTTCTTGGACTCCACAGACCAGGTCCCTCGGCCAGGAGGTTGATCTGTCCCCATTGAAATGTTAGGTCTGCATCCAGGACAGAGATTCTATTCTCTTGACCAAGGACCTTTTTCTCTTAGCAGGCCTTTATTACTACTTTTAACTTTTCTCTTTCCTAAGGCCCCCAGAATCACTTAGCATCAGGTATCATAGTTCCCAAAACACTTTTGGCATCTTTGGCCTCTGGCAAGGATGAAACTGCTAAGAGTTCCAGTGATACTTCTGGCTTTTAGTCAAGAAAGCAACTGGTTACTTTTCTTTTCTTTTTTATTTCTTTTCTTTCCTTCTTTTTAATCCTAAACTGCCTAGTTGATTTCTACCTCCAGTTCATATCTCACCTCCCTATGACGAGGCAACCCTAACTGCTATTATGGGATTGAAACAATGACTGATCTGTCTCCTTCCAGTTGAATTTGGGGTATCACATGGCAGTATTGGAATACTCTTCCAGAGGACCCCTTGCAAAGTCCAAATTCAGAAACAGAACAGGAAAGGAATTACTTTATTGGTGCCTGGAAATGACCAAAATTTCCAAAGTCCAAAAGATATTCTTGATGGATTCACAATAGGCCCCATCTACTAGATGTTTCTTTTTGACCTCTATGGTTGGTCTCCAGAGTGTTGAACCCACAATCAGCTTTCACACTTAACATTAGCCAAAAGTCAGCATGAAACCTTTCCCATGTGGCTCTGGATAGGGAGAGAAGAGGCATTTAGCATCATTTAATTTGGGGCTTAAAAAAATCATGGGCCTGTCTTCCTTGGCTGTGGGCAGGTGCTCAGGGAGCCAAGGTCTGACATCTCACCTCTGGGCAACATCCTTTTACCATGAAGAAAATATCAGCGAGATTGGTTGTCTAAACAACCCCTCGTGCAGACTCACACCTGACGTCTGTAGAGTGCGAGCCCTTGGGGTGTTAGCAATTCTCTTGGTCTTTGGTTAAACTTTCCTGATGGGTGCTGAAGACCACAGGTGGCCAAAATTAATACTTCTTACTGTGCTGTCAAGACCAGTGGAGCACCTAGTCCTCAGGGGTCACTTGGGCTTTAGAGGAACCTCAGACTCTTCTAGCCTTTCTTTTACCAGTTGTCCATCAATGTGAGGATGAGTCAAAGGCTTTGCTTTAGGTACTGTGGCTTCCTTTGAAGCCTTGAGAAAATCTTGCCCACATTGAACCTCCTTTTGTAGACTGGACAGCATTTCAAATTTATTGAGTGGGGCCTCCATGATCTCCATGAACAAGACAACATAAGATCAATGGTTTTAGTCCCTGGGACCCCATTGACTTTGTAGGGGAATGGAAGAAATATTCTCCCTTTTAGTCCCTCTAACTATATTAAAATTGCCTCAAAGAATGATTATGAAACACATAGAAGATCAATTTTACACCAGTTTGGTATTTTAAGTACTGTGTGTTTCAATAGCCAGACATAACTCAATAAACTTAATGTTTATTATGACATACATTTTAGCCAGTCCTTGAAAGAGTTGATATCTGACCTTGCCAACTTTAATACAATATATGATCTCTAAATCTCATCCTTTATGTACCTTAAACAACTTACTCAGATCTTCATAACTTGCCAAAGCTTTCCAGTCTTTTTTTATTCTGGAGCCATGCAGTCATTATCATCTTCATATATCTAAGTCTTTCTTTCCTAATTTCCATATTTCCATTCTTCTATTATGTCCTTTTATGTACTGGTTTCTTTTCCTAATACCGTGAGACATAGGAACATTAACAAATATATTTACGATCTGTTGTGTGAATTTACTCCCCATTTGAGGGTTACAAAGCAATGTGTATCTCATCCTTATAAGTCCCAATGCCAATGCAAAGTGCAATTTTACCAAAGTCCACCATGGAAAACCAATGAGTTTATTGATCTTACTTACTGAACATGATTGAGGGGATACAGGAGTTTGGATGCTGTGGTGGTTTGAATCAAAATGGCCCCCATAGTCCCACAGGGAGTGGCACTATTAGGAGGTGTGGCTTTATTGGAATAGTTGTGTCCTTGTTAGAGAAAGTGTGTCACAGACACTTTCTGCTGCCTGATGATCTGGATGTAGAACTCTCAGCTCTTTCTCCAGTACCACATCTGCCTGTACACCAGCATGTTTCCAGCTATGACAATAATGGACTAAACCCTCTGAAACTGTAAGACAGGCCCAATGAAATGTTTTCCTTTATAAGAGCTGCTGTAGTCATGGTGTCTCTTCATAGCAATAGCATAACAAGACAGATACCTGAAAGCAGCCCCACAGGCATGTCTCTACTCAGGGTGTACAATGGCTCTACCATAGCTGCAGATGTGGAGCTCACCTCTCTGTTCTCTCACTGCTGTATACTCTAGCATTATATTACATTTCTCAGTGTGCATAGGAGGTAAGCCTGATAGCCCTCAAGGAAAATTCTCACCTTTAAGATGGCTTTCTTATAGGTGCAAATGCAGAATCCACCTCCTCCTGAGTCTTTCCCAGGCTATGTGCTCTAGCTCCTCCCACAAACCACAAGGTCACATGTCATTAGGGCTGAATTGCATACAGTTGCCTGGGAAAGAAGCTGTATACTCAGAAGGAGGGGATTGCTCCTTCAATGATGAACTATCAACAGTCAGCCAACCTGGTGGTGGTCATCCTTTGTAAGCAGGCACAGCTGATCATAGGAAGGTGCCAATTATTTGTCTTAAGAAAATGCTGAGTGCCAGGCAGTGGTGGTACACACCTTTAATTCCAGCACTCAGGAGGCAGAGCCAAGTGGATCTCTGTGAGTTCGAGGCCAACCTGGTTTACAGAGTGAGATCCAGGACAAGCACCAAAACTACATAGAGAAACCCTGTCTTGAAAAAACAAAAACAAAAACAAAAACAAAAAAAAGAGAAGAAAAGAAAAAAAAAAGGAAAATGCTGAGCAACAACAACTAACTAAAAACAGATGAATAGAAACTATGTATAAGATAATGTAATAAATTAATGTTTCCTAGGTATAATCTGTTAAACTAAACCTTAGAGAAAATACAAGACAGTCTTTATATAATACATGGCATCACTACTATAACCATACTTTTGGTTTTTAATGAGTATATGTAGTCAATACAAAGAAACAGCAAATAAATAACAAAACATTATCAAATTGATGTGTACAGTATCCAGTACAACACAATTAAGAAATCTCTCTTAAAACTATGATTCTCCAGCTTACTACAGAGAGATCTTTGCACAGAGGGTCTCCCTATCCTCTCCGTGGATGAGCATCCCATTAGCTGTTTTAACTACGGACATGTGGCCAATAACAGTATACATAAAAGGTGAACAAATATTTATATCCTAATATCCTAATCTCTAACAGGCCTGGTTAACATAATACTTATCTTTGAGGTATTTTAGAGGCAGCCCTCCCTTAGCTAAATTCTCCTTTGTGTGATATACTATCTCATAAGCATTGGTAAATCCTTAATATCACCAATTCTACCTTTCTACATCACAGCTTGGTAGTGGAGCTACCCAACACATGAGATGCCTTTTAAAACCTCCAAAAAATTAACTATGAATGGATCTGACATGTAAGGTTAAGTGCAAAGTGCTGAACTTCTAGAAGATACTTGAGAAACTAGGCCTCTCTGAGTTTGGCAGCCTGCTTGGGCCATGAGAGGTTTCTTTAAGGTCCCGATGTATAAAGCAAAAACAGCTCCTTCTCTAAAACCGGGAATATGCTTGGGAGAGAGCTGGTCATGTTCTGGGGGTAGGGCCTTTGGGAAGGGATTGCTTCAGACCCTGAGAACCCAACTCTTTACACACATCAGGATATGGTTATCAGTCCCAGGGCCACTGTGAACTTTGTTCATAATGTTCTTGAGTTACCCTGTGTTCTTCTTGGGCAATATTGTCTGATTAGCCTCCTCCTGAATTTGTACACTTCCTTTTAAAATTGACCCCACTGGTTTATAGTAACAAGAGACTTGCTGTTGAATTTGGCACTAATCTACATTCAGTCTGGGATAGGTGTGTGCTTCAAGTGGAAGCCAGGGCTGGAAAACACTGTGCTGTGTCTCTTCAGGTCACTCGGTCCTGTCACTCAGTCCACACTAACTAATCAGGCCCTCCAGTGGACCGGCCAGTCAGATGGGAGGGTTCTTCCGGGTGCTAGGCTTCTGGCTCAGCTGCTTTGCTGAGGAAGTCGGAAGTTGGACTGTGTACGGCGCCTTGGGCTCCACTGCAGGGAGCTTTGGGGAGAGCACGGGCGATCTCTGCAGCCGAACCGAACCGTGGTGAGCGAAGGGCTGCTGTCCCCAGGCGGGGAGGAGTGGCCGGCCATGGTGAGCAAGGGGTCGCTGTCCCAGGACTAAAAGGAGCGGCTGGCTGAGCCGCGGGAGCCGATGTGATGGGTCCTATCCCGCTCCGTGGGAGCCAGCGGCCAGATGCAGAGCTCAGCATGTTTCTGCCTGGACCCGCGTGGTCTTGCACGGTCCTGCTTGTCCAGTGTGGTCCCTGCAACTCCCTGGGCTGGGGCAGCAGCCTCTGAATAACTTCACTCCACTGGCTGTGTCTGTGCAGAGCATTGGGAGCTGGACTGTGCTTTGAAGTGTCCTTGTTGACGTCACTGTGAAATGCTGATTCCTGTAGTGCTTGTATTGTCCCGATGGAAGGCAGATTTGCCAAACTCAGAAAGCCCTAGTCTCTCTAGTATCTTTCAGAAGCTCTGCACTTTTAACATTGAACATTTAGGTGTAGGATCCGTCTGGAGTTAATTTTGTGGAGCTTGTAAACAGCATTTCCTGTGTAGAGTAGCACTCCACTGCTAAACTGTGATGTAGAAGAAACTTAGTGGTATAAGGATTTACCAATGCTTAGGAGACATTAAGTCACACAAAGTAGAATTTAGCTAAGGAAGGGCTGCCTTCCAAATACCCCAAAGACAAGTGGTATGTTAACCATGCCTGTTAGAGATTAGTATGATAAGATGTAAATGTTTGTTTACCAGGACTAACCAGCCATTAAGCTACATTCCCATAACAAAGGAGACAACCCTGATTTATAACCAGCCTAAATGTCCACCTCCCCATCACAGAACAGGCCTCTAACTGCTCAAGGAACCATTACAGGGTCACAACCAACTTTAAGTCCTGGTGTGCCATGAAGGTATATTAATTCTAGAACAGCTGCATCTCCAGCCTTTTTGAAAAGTGGTTTTCAGTCAAGGTCTCCTATGTTGACTGAAGCATGTCTGTAGCCCCACAGGGCATTGCCCTTGCTGTCCTCCTGACTAACCACCCTAAATCCTTGGATTACAGGCCTGTAGCACCACAGAGTTCTAAAATGACCAGTTTGAGTCACATAGTGGACTGTCCATTGCAGTAACAGGAAAAGGATTTGTGTGTGGAGCTTGGCTTCTCCCTTCAGACCAGAAGAGGAGGGACAGTGTGCTGTGCACACTGCAGGGGGAAACAGACTAGACAACAGCTAGATCACAGACAGAAATTAAAGGCAGTGAGCTGCAGGGGTCTCCATCATCAAGAAGGGGCACGGTGAGTGACTGTCTGTGCAGTTTCTCTCAATGAATTGATTCCTTCCATGTGAATGAACACAGACAGCAATGGTGGGTGTACAATTTAGGGAGGGTAGCTACTGAGTATTCAGTTTCCAGTTAGGGAACTCTCCTATGCAGATATGTGCAGTTCTAGTTAACACAGTTGAGTCAGCTCAGAAGTTTGAGACACAGGCCATTGGCTGTCAATCTGTGTCAGCTTATAGCACTCAGCAGCTATCATTTTACATGGACAAAGTCATACAATGTCTTATTAATTGCATTTTCTCTATCAGGGAAGTGCCCACTCTGTTTCAAAGTCAGTATAACCTAGTATTCTTCCAATTATTATTATTTTTTTTTATCATTTTTAAAAGTCAATTATTGGTATCACTCTAAAATTTCATTTTCTTTAAATGAATTACTCCTTTAATCTTTATTTGTTTCTGTTTCCAGTGTTTCTAGGTCATTGATAGTTTCATTCCCTTTTCTCAAGTGCTGTTGATCATTTATTTCTATTAAGAGCAATGTCGCCTATAGCCCAGGCTTGCTTCATGCTATATAATTGAGATTGCTTTGAACACCCAATCCTGCCTCTGCTGCCCAGTGCTGGGAAGTCCGTCAGTCAGTCCTGCAGCTCCTTCTAGCCTGGGTCTTGACTGGTCAGTGAGAAGGAAAAGAGACCAGTGAATGAGTGTCCTCCAATATCTGGCTTTTATTGGGAACTTAAAATGCTGCAGGACCTATGTGAGAACTGAGTTCATTACCAACTGTAAAGCAGGTGTCCTCACAGCAGAGAAGGATGGGCAGGAAGGAGGGTGAAACCTTGCCTGCTTTGACAGTAGTTGACATCAGCAATGAGTAGTGAGGTGATCAATTTTAGATGATCGACAAATGTCCTGACTGGCCATTTCTTGGGCCCACAGACCAGGCAATCAAGAATCTGAATACAGAACTGAAGTTCTTGTGAAACAAAATTACAGTAGTTACACTAGTTCAAGCAAAATAGAAGATCTGGGTAAAATAGTGTGGCCCTGCCTAACAGGACTGTGTTTTACAGTTTGAGATGTTAAGTCTGAGAGAAAAGGTATGAGCAGTACTTGGTGTGTTCCAAATCTCGAGTCTCTGGAGCACATGCCATAAAGCCTGTTTCAACTTCTTAACATAACTTTACGAATATAATCACATCATTTCCACCCTATCTTTCCTGCCTCCAAGCCCTCCCATAGACTCTTTATTATTTTCTAATTTATGGCCTCTTTTTGCTTAAGCAACACCAACTATTTGAATTTGAGCTGTGTTTGGCTGCAGGACTTCCCAACTATGAAGCAATGGGTTGGCTGCCCTGGACATTGAGTGTGTAATGGAATGTGCACACAAAAGACCCTGTGCCTTGGAAGAGGAACAGGAAATGCTCCGGGAGATTGGAAGATTCTACTAAAATACTAATTTCCCAGACTAGAGCGCTGTATCATAGGGTGGAAGGGCAGAGCTGGGAAGGCCTATGCTGTTTGGGTGTTTTGATTTCTGCTCACCCAGTAGGGTAACTGCTACTGTCCTGAGGCTCAGCTGGGTGGCTCTAGCTAATGAGGGACCCTCGGAAGGCTTAACAATCAAGAGTACCTGTGGGAGGTAGCTTGTAGATTCTTTCTAAGGTTCTATTCTAATGCAGCTGTAAGGAGCTGTGAGGGAGACCACAAGCCATGCCATAGTGAGAGTGGGGTCACTGTCTTCACTGTCAGGGCAGGAAGAGCAGTTCTGCTGAGCTGTCAGAGCTGCTGGGACTGAATTGGACCACAATCCAGACTAGTTCTGTTAGTCCTTGTGGTGACCTGGGTAGTGGCCCTTGGACCCCTGACCCTCCCTGAGTGTGGATTCTCTGGGGTTAGGGAGGCTCTTTACACCTGGCTTTGGGAGCTGTGGTGCTTATAATATCAGTGCCCAGTGTGTACACACAGGCCTTGCTTCTGGTGTGTGGTGGGAAGACAGATTGGAAAACTGAAGGTCTGGTTTCTAGAAGTTCTAAATGTTGCATTCCCCATTCAGTTTTGTGTGATAAATTTTACAAATAGCTTAGAAACTGGTAGAAAGGAGGTGATGGGGATCATCCTTCAGCAATACTTGATCAGGGAAATTCAATAATAGGGGACAAAGGGAGTTTCTGAGTTGCAAACGTTTTTCAGGCGTGCATGGGGTTGCATTGATGGAGAGGGCAGATTCCACATTTTGTGCCCTAATGCATGTGGCAGGAATAAATTATTCTTGTTTATTGTTTTGTGTGTGGGGGCATCAGTGGGGTTGGGCTTGCCTGAAACCACAGGGGGCACCAGAGCCATAGTCCACCTTTCTGATGACTTCCATTTCCAGAGAGAGCTCTAGAGCATGGGGCTGTTTGGAAAGGAGATCAGTAGCTGGGAGGTCAGAAATAAAACAGTTTAGGGGTCCCTTTGAGTCATCTTTGTGTGAATTTTGAAGTCTGTGTTATTTAATTTCTATATATCTACAATCATAAATAACATTGGCCAAGTTCACATTTTCCCTGGCTGAGTTTTCTTAGGTCTTTTGATAAAAGCTTGACTATATTTTTTCGCTTTTGCTCCTGGCTTTTTCTTTCCATCCTCTTATTTTTTTTAATTTTTTTTTTTTTTTTTTTTTTTTTTGGTTTTTCGAGATAGAATTTCTCTGTGTAGTTTTGGTGCCTGTCCTGCTGGATCTCATTCTGTAGACCAGGCTGGCCTTGAACTCACATAGATACACCTGCCTCCCGAGTGCTGGGATTAAAGGCGTGTGCCACCACTGTCCAGCTCCATCCCCTCATTCTTTCACAAATATTGTACACATTCCCAATTGTTGTAACTTTGTGGTAAGTACAGAAGTCACATTGTATCAATGTGTGTACTATTTCTTCATAATCCTATTGAGAATTCTTAGTTTTTCCACATGGAATGTAGCTTTAGAATTAGGTTTCCTGTTAATTTTTTTTTTTTTTTGCAATTTTCCTTGGATTGTATTGAATTTATGCTACTAATTGAACATATACAAAATCCCTTTTTTAAAAACAAGTATGTCATGTTAATGATGTTGTTTACAGAAATATAAAAGGGTAAAGGATATTATTCTACATAATCATTTGTTTAGCAAACTACAGTAAGTGTGTGAATCTGAATCTGATGTGAAATAATGTACACTGCCATAGAAAGAAGAGTTCTGTATAGAGTTCAGTGATACAGAATATATTATTATGTTCACGTAAAAGATATCCCACTAAGTATGATTTAATTGAGAAACCAAAAAGAGTGAAAATAAAACATGCTCCAGAATTGAACAATGAATCTGAATATGACATGGGATTATGTAATAAACTTTTGTGGTTGTTGGTTGGGATTTTCCACAATATCAACTAAAAGCAGTTAAAGCCATGTTGCGCTGTTATAGTTGATATAAAATTGCACACATTTAGTGCATGTATTTATGATGCATTTGGTCATATTACCTACACCCTAGCAACCTCATTACCACAAACAACAGAGTAAACCATGTTCTCCAGACAGTCTTTTTCTATCCATGTGTGTCTACAGTATACAGAGTTCTCATAAAATGACAGAATTGCTATGGACCCAGCAATCTTCTCAGTGTAATCTTCCATGCACTTGAAATTAGTATTAAAAAGTATCAGAACTCTCATACCCATGGCAGTTATATTCAGGGTTGCCTAAGTAGGAAAATAACATAAGTGTTCCCTTGTTGAGGACAAATTGGGTGCCTCATATAGTGCTAAATGAATGAAGACAT